AACGCTGTCTGCCCAGGTGAGGCCCTCAGCATACCCCTCTCTGGGCATATGAGGTGCAGAAAGTTCAGAAAAGCAGACCGGGGGCCGGGAGGGCAGAGGGCCAGGGGATCGGAGAAGGGGTGGAGGATAAGATGTCAAGAGGACAGGGTGACCTCTGCCTCCTTCCCAGCAGGAGCCTTCTCAGGAGGAGCTGACAGCAGAGGACCACCAGGAGCCCCCTGTGAGTAGGTGTGGATGCTGTGTGCAGGATGCCAGCATGGAAAAATGTGCCCGAGCTGAGGCTTTGGCTGGCTGTGACAGATGTGTGTGCAGTGTGTGTATTCAGCTGTGTGTGCATGCACTAGTTTACAACCGAGTGAATCAGCCCACGTGGGTATGTCTGTGTGTGAGAGGGTGATCTAGGTGTAAGGAGGTAGCTCTTACCACAAAGTAAGAGTTGTGCTACCTGAGTGGGAAGTGCTGATTGGCTATGAGTGAGTGAGAGTGATTAATCTGAGCCTGACATCAGACAGGCTGTATGTATCACCTATGTATGTGTACACGCTGTCTGTCTGCCCCGTTTGTTGCGTGTGTGTGTGTGTGTGTGTGTGTGTGTGTGTGTGTGTGTGTGTGTGTGTTTAGTAGTAGGGTGGTGCAGGCTGTCTGTTGATTGGGTCTGAAGGCATTAAAAGTCTGTCTGGTCTCTCAAAAGGCATGAGAACCCAGCCTCACTCCCCAGGTTTAGCCAACCCATAGGATTTGTGTCTGTTACTGCTAATGGTTCTGACAGACCCTAAAGCTTTTGTCTTTAGGAGGTCCTGTTTGTGCCCTGCCCTTAATTCCTAGGAACTGAATCCCCAGACAGAGGGAAGCCAGGACGGGGTGCCTTTCTTGGAACGACTAGTCCGGCCTCGAAGAAGTGGTGAGCATCCATCCTTCCTTCCCAGTTTTGAGAATGACAAAATTGGCCAGTCACTGGGTCATTTACTGCTTTGTTCTCCCCAACAGGCTATGAAATGAGCAGAGTAAAACTATCTTTTCGTTCTTGTTTTTTTTTTTTTTTTTTTTTTTTTTTTTTGATCAGGG